ACAAATACCTAGTACAAAGTTTTTCTTTATATATCCATGTATATTTCTTTTGCAGTGAGTCAAATGAACCAGAAGCAGAAGCCGAGCCAAAGAGGAAACGGGCGAAGAAAAACCAAAGCAGGTAAGAAATGTCTTTTTTCATTTCCCAAATGCATATAGTTTTTCTTCTTTAATGCATATGTATTTCTTTTGCAGTGAGTCAAATGAACCAGAATCAGAAGCCAAGCCAAAGAGGAAAAGAGCGAAGAAAAACCAAAGCGGGTAAGAAATATCTTTTCTCATTTCCAAAATGCATTTAGTTTTTCTTCATTTATGCATATGCATTTCTTTTGCAGTGAGTCAGATGAACTGCCACCCAAAACTACCAACTCCTGCAAGCTCCAGAAAACAAAGAGCTGCCCAAGAATCAGCAGAGACTAGTAAGATGCTTTTGTATTTAACAAAATTATAACAAGGACTTCTTTGTCTTGACAATCTTTTCTTCTGTTCAGGTCAGCCCAAAAAGTCAAGAGGCAGCAAGAAGAAGTAAAACTGTTCAAAATCATTGAATTTAAGGGGGCAGTAGCGTCTTTTGCACGTGTTTTGACGATTTTCGAACCTCCTGTTTAGACGTTAATATAAAGATAAGTATGAATGCCAGAGGCAAACGGCAGGCACCATTTGAAAGATAAAAGTTTTTACAACATTTTCAAAAAAAAATATTTTGTTTTAGCATTGAATTAGGATGTTTTGTGTTATATGCAAAAATGGTCTGCAAAATTACATGGTTTCACTGCGCGCACGATTGCAGCCAAAGTTTTTAACTTTTTACCAATCGGTAAAATGCATCTGAAAAAGCATGAAATTGCCCATAAAATGACCCTTGGGTTTTAATATTGGGCCAGAAAAAATGTGGTTCGTTTCCATCTTAAGTTGAAGATGAGCGTTTCAATAGTTTTTCTTGCCCAATGTTGAAACCCAAGGGTCATTTTATGGGCAATTTCATGCTTTTTCAGATGCAGTTTACCGATTGGTAAAAAGTTAAAAACTTTGGCTGCAATCGTGCGCGCAGTGACACCATGTAATTTTGCAGACCATTTTTGCATAGAACACAAAACATCCTAATTCAATGCTAAAACAAAATATTTTTTTTTGAAAATGTTGTAAAAACTTTTATCTTTCAAATGGTTCCTGCCGTTTGTCTCTGGCATTCATACTTATCTTTATATTAACGTCTAAACAGGAGGTTCGAAAATCGTCAAAACACGTGCAAATGACGCTACTGCCCCCTTAAACTCAAAATAAAAAATTATTTGCATGCTAGTATTTTTTTGAAGTTCTTCTGCTGTGTACTAGTTGACATCACTCTTGAATGTTTGAGTGAGCTGCAGAGTAATTTGAATGGCTGTATGTATCTAAGAAATTGAGTGATTTAGGCTATAAAATAACATTTGAGAGTGATCTACAGATATATCTGTTGAACAGAGTTCTTAAAATACTTCAGCTTTGATGTTAAGTGAGTAATAACATACAAAGATGATTTGGTTTGACTCATTGAACCATCCTGCAGTGCCTGGGGGGGGGGGGGGGGGGGGGGGCACGGCCTGGACGTACCCCCGTCGGGACGTTCCCCCCTGTTTTATTAGTATTTCCTACAATATATTTATTGAATATTTTTATTCGATGGATATTGTTATTAATTCTTTTCGAGTTGACAGAAATAATTACCCGTCGTCCCAGGAATATTTTTTACCTATGTTTATAATAATCATAATATTCTCTTCTCTCCTCGAGCTGCATGCGGAATTTCTAATGGTGGTGCGGGGTAGATGCGCATGCGGACCGACGGATGGCTTCCCTAAAACTCTGACACTAAAGGGTCCAACCTGTCTTAACCAAACCTAACGGGCTAGCGACAGATCTTACGCTACTCGCAACAGATCTTACGTCGTGACGGATCTTACTCTACTCGCGACAGATCTTAATCTATTCGTGATAGATCTCATCTCGCGATTGATTTTAGTCTACTTACAACAGATCTGAAGTCGTGACAGGTCCTTCTCTACTCGCGACAGATCTTCTCGTCGAGTAGACTAGTCTACTCGTCTATACTCTTAGTCTACTCGTAACAGATCTTACACTGCTCGCGCCAGCTCTTCGTCTACTTGTGGCAGACCTTTCGAGAAACTCCGCATGTAGCTCATAAGAGAGAGGAAAATATTTTTACTTTCTAAAAAATATTCTTAAATATTTTTGGGACGACGGACGATTATTTCTGTTTATTCCAGAGTGAATTAAAATAATATCCACCCAATATATTTATTCATTAAATATATTGCAAGAAATACTATAAAACAGGGGGGGGGGGGGGGAACGTCCCGACGTTTCCCCCTGGGGGTACACTTTAGTCGAAAAGCGAAGACTGAAAATAGGTTTTGGGCTGCGGTATTTAGAATGAGTTTCATCCGTAAACTTTTTATTTTTCCCAAAATTAGGGACCATAAAAAGACACCGTTTAAGGCTCAGAGAAGTGAAAAAAAAATATACGTATTAGTTTTTCTCAAATAAATCCACTTTTTTAAATTTTAAAACTTTGTAAAAAATTGGAAAAATTGTTTGAAAATTCCGTTCTGGTATGGAAAAAACTCAACTTTTTATGCTCTTTTCAAAAAAATTTAGACGGGGAAGTTTCGATGAAAAATTAAAAATGTGGAATTTTTCCTAGGTTTGAAACATAAAAACCCCAAAATCTCGGCTCCTATCAGACATAAAAGTCTGAAAATTTTTTTGGGGACTCTCTACTACTAGGGCATCTTAAAAAACCATCGGAAGCAGGATCTGAGACATTAAGGTTTTGGGCCTGGTTGCCTTGGGAAAGAATTGCTCATGGGGGAGTTTCCAGAATATGCTTCATTTCAAGCGTTACGTCTACAAGCGTAACTCAATGCTTGACTCAAGCAAAGAGTAGTTACGCTTTACTTTTACCAGAGCGGCAATATCAGTATAGTTAGCAAGTGCTAAGTGACACTGACAAAAAATACTAAGAATTATGGTAGATTACAGAAATGCGTCTGCTAATGAGAATCAGTCAGTAGAAGGCTGAGAGTGTGAGGTGTTACTTTATGCCTAACCCCAGGTGCACCGAATCCACGTACGAGCGCGCCCTGGAGCCAGGCGGCAGGACTTCGCGTACGACCTAGCCCTGCTCGTGCTGAAGACCGCCGTCCACCTTACGCCCGTGTGCTTGCCCATGCCGGGTGGCGGCGCGCTGCAGCGGCTGGCACCGGGATCGATTGGCCTGGTGGGTTCTATTGCCGGCAGAGCGAGCGGCTCTATGTGAAACGTATTCTGACTATTTTGATATCACCAGGTTGAGTACAATGGCAAGATCATCGATCCGGCGAGCACAAACTTCTTGGTGCCTGTCCATTACCGCACCACCAGCGAGTGCGAGGGGCTCGTCAGTGGCACCAGCTCGACTCAATGGGCCGAGGATGAGTTCTGCGCTGAGACCACGGTCATGGACTTGGAGGAAGGTTAGGGTGCCTCACTGCCTCAGGCTATTCCCGAAAAGCAGATGACGAAAATAACATTCCTTTTGACCCAGATCCGTTAAAATTCACACTGCAAAGCCAGTGGTAAGTTTGCTTGCCACAAAATTTGTCACCCGTTTTGAATGCCACAAATTGGCAAGCTTGGCCCATAAATGGTCCTCAGCTTGCCAAAATTAGGCAAGCTTATGAAGATTGCAGGTCAAAGCTCGCCAAATTTATGAATTCGAAATGGCTTGCCAAAATGTTGGCGAGCAAACTTACCGCTGCTTTTGCAGTGCAACTGGCGAGATTCCTGAATTTCTAAATGTTCGGGAACGGGGCAATGTTGCCGGTGTATGTATCGCCACTTTTCCTGTAATGTGAGTCGTAACAGCGCAAGCCGTGATTCAGGTGGCGCAGCCGGGACCGCGCCAATGGGCTACGCGCTTTCCGTCATGACTGACGGCCTGTGGTATCTCCGCGGCGTGTTGAGCGGCTCGCGGCAGAGCGACGTCCTTACCTTCGCCAGCCTGGACGACCCCGAAGCGCTCGAGTGGGTGGTCAACATGACTCGCCTCGACACCCAGGGCGACAAAGGTATTACAGCAGACTGAAAATAGAAAGGTCAGACTTTTGACTGTGTAAGGGGGCGGGGGGATACTGAAACGTATGACCAAAAAAGGATCATATTTTTTATCGTACCACTGATAGAGGTTAGTAGGGTAAAGTACACTGTCAAAAAAATTAAGTACAATCGACCAATTGGTTTTGGTCATTCGAACTAAAACTAATTCTTAGTCGAGTCAACTAAAATTTAGTTGAGTGTAGTCGCTGCCCACCCTGCGAGGTCCGTCAAGATGCTGCGCTCGGCCAGACAGCCTCCATCAAGTCGGTGGCGCAGTGGTTAGCGTTGTCGCACGACGTGTCAGGGTATGCGTGTTCGACACCCGCCAGAGGCTCCGATTTTTCGACACTTTAATTAAGTGTCAGTGCCTCTGGGACGCTGACGTCACATTTAGAAGGAGGTCGTGTGGTCACGTGATTCTCTCCAACCAATAGGAGAGGAGGCAGTTCTTAGTAATCTCAAAAGGATCTCGAGGAGATCGAATCAACTAAAACTAAGAAAATCGTCATCAAGTCTCCAAATCGTGTGACGTCACCGCTGCTTACATCACAAGAGCCGACTAAAGGGAACTGACTAAATATTTTGGTCAAAATTTCGACTAAGTTTTGTTTGATTCGACTAATATTTGGTCGTTTTTATCGTCCACTCATGCTCGATTGGCGTGTTCTTAATTCTACTAATTCTTAGTCGCCCTGAAAAACGACTAAATTTCTTAGTACAATCCACTAAATTTTAGTCGATTGAACTTTATTTTTTTGACAGTGTATACAGTTACCGTCAGTTGAAGAGCATCGCTTTCTTTTCGAGGGCCGCTAGGGTAGGTTATTACCTTTATTACCCGCGCGACTAGTTCCAGACACCTCAGAAGGATCTAGACAACGGAGTGGCTGACAAAGATTTCACGAAAAACTTTTTGTGTCGCTCTTATGTAACCTGAGAAAATGGTTACCAAAAACACAATTATCGGCAGTCAAAAGACAGTTATCGGCACCCAGTTAAAAAGGCAACACATGACCGAAAGTGAAGAAAATTTCTAACAGTCGCCCCTCGACATGTCACGAACCCCCTCCTGTCAAGCCTCTAAAAGAACTAGAACCATGAACATCGAGCAACCGCAAGTACAAAATTTCGTCCAAAAGCAATTTTGGAGGGTTTTGCCAAAATGATCAAAACAGTTTTTTTCGTAAAATGTTGTACTTTCGATTGCTCGATGTTCATGGTTTTAGTTCACGCGATAGCCGCTTCAATTACCTACATTTTGGCGCACATGGGGTTGAGATATCTTCATTTTTGTGGAATGAGAGACTTCCACCAGTTCGATTTTTGACGAAAATTTGATTGGTAGCTGCTCCGCTCCCTGACGTTCGATCGACGCCATTCTGGGCTGAAAATGCTTCTTTTCGTAGGGCCTTGGCACATGAAAAATCTCAATTACGTACCACAGCGCGTATGGAAGCAATCGCAAAGTCAGTTTTGGGACATTTTCAGTGTATTGCCCCCTTAAGCCCGTGCTTGCGGCATTTGAAGTGAAATATGGGGTGTTCAGCCCCCCCCCCCCCGACCAGTTTTCCCCCGCACTCCCAGACGGTTCAGAATTTTCTTGTTATTCATCGCCAATGACCTGCAACCAAGATTCAACATCCCCTCTCCCTCTCTAGGAGCCGCCCTAGTGAACTGGTGTGCATATCCATTTGGGAGCTTCTTAGAAAGTTTTTGTGACACTTGTGTCGCTTGCCCACACCCCATTTTCACCCAATGCCTTTTGTATCATTGTAGCAGGTTGGAGACCGGCCCAAGAGACGTCTGGCACAAGCCCGACTACTCCATCTGCAACGAAAATGAGTATCACGACGCCAGCGGCCAACCTGCCCACCACACTGCCCACCGATTCACCGCTACAAAAGGTACACCCGTTGGTACATCCAGGCAAAAATATTCTTGTGACAGTGTGTGTCTTCTGGAAATAAGGAGAGATGCTTTCACTGAAGTACTCTGTACTCTGCGAACACTGCAAATGCAAAGGCGATACTTAAGTACATTTTTTGGTGATACAATTGAGTATTGCCAACAAACAGCATTACGGAAAAGTATTGCCCTCAGAACGGCGATACACGGAAGTATCGCCAAAATTTGGCGATACTTTCGCCAAAACCGCGTCATTAAGCTTAGGACTTGTCCCCTGGATTTGTTCAACGTTTAATGCCAAATCGTGGCAATACTCCGAAGTATCGCCAAATTTTGGCGATACTTTTGTGTATTGCCGTTTTAAAGGCAATACTTTTCCGTAAGGCCGTTTATTGGCGATACTCAATTGTACCGCCAAAAAAGGTACCATAAGTATTGCCTTTGGATTTGCAGTTAACTCAAGTGTCGACATAGTAAACTCCACCTGGAGTCAACCTGGCATGTACATTCATTCCACCTGGAGTCAACCGGGCATGTACACTCCACCTGGCATCAACATGGCATGTACACTGTTGCTGAAGTCCCCTACCCTTTGAACGTAAAGCAGAGCAACAGTGTACTTGCAGGTAAACGCCACCCGGCCTGGCGTGTACTTGGCAAGCATGCTCCAGCCTGGAGTGTATACATGCCAGGCTGAGTCCAGGTGGAGTGTACATGCTAGGTTGACTCCAGGCGGAGTGTACTATGTCGACACTTGAGTTTGTAGAGTAGGTTTTTGCGAGATTAACCACGCATATACATTTCTGCGCGACATCGCACGATTTTGTGCGCTACAAATGTTCTCTACGTGTTCTCCAAATAAAGGCTTTGTAAGCCTTCGCACGTTGCCCTAGGCAACCTTCGCGATATTTTTCTGTTATTTGCTTCGTTGCCGCAGTGCGGCCAGACGACGCTGCCACTGGCCTCCCTGAGCGCCAATCAGAGCCTGCCTGGCCACCTACCCTGGACCGTGGGCGTGTACGTCCAATCGGATCGGAGTGACAACGACTACGATGTGTACGCTGGGGCCCTGGTGGCAGACAACGTTGTGATGACTGGTCAGTGCCGGACTTACACCACCGTCATGGAGGGGGAGGGAGAGATGAGGCACTGAGGTCAAATTACCTCAATTTGAGGGTCATTAGTACAAAATGAAGTCTGCGCGCTGAAAGCTTAACCATTCCGCAATAACAGAAACTAAGTGCCTTTTAGGGTTTTCTCGAAAGTCGGTGCTCCACGGCGGGCCCTAACTCTGATCTCATTTGCAGACGGTAACGGTGTGGTGGTTCCTTATGGGCGGAGGAACGACACTGGAGATGTCCGTCTTGTGGCCCCAGGAAAGCTGCATGTGGTGTGGATGAGCCCCAACGGAAAGAAGAGACGGGTTGAGGTAAGAGCGACCTCGTAGCGACCACGAGGGAAACTTTTCAGAAGATCCGATCGGGTCATTTCCATGTAAAGAAACTTATCGTGAACGAAAGGGAATTAGTCCAAGTTGGATCATTTGGGCGGGATAGGCAATGTTGGTGAAATTCACGTGTGCATTGAATATAAGATTCTATGTAGGTGATTTGCATCGAAACATACATTTTTGGGCCCTGAATTCCGTGAAAATATGAAGTTTGTCCAAACTACCTTTTTTTGGTAAATTTATGTTTTAGTCCGCCTAAAAAAGAAATCCTTAAGCCTGCAACGCTTAGTCTAAGGAAGTCACCAACATATCAAGAGCATTTTTGATCGGAGTCAATTAACCTCTCCTGTGGCTCTGCTGAGCCACGTAAAGAGAGGAACAAAAGATGCACGTTTTGACAGTGGCGGATCCAGAGGCGGTCTATTGGTGGTGGTGGTGGTGGTGGTGGCAAAGTAGCGCCTTTTGCCTACTTACAGGGGCAAAGTAGCACTTTTTGCCTACCTTTCAGGCGGCTATCTAGGGCAAAAAACCCTTTGCGCTCCCCCCCCCCCAAAAAAAAAAAAAAAAAAAAAAACAATCCGCGCCTGCGCTTTGATGCAAACCGCACCCACGAAAACGGACAAGGTACACTGTGGCAAAAAGCTACGGAGAATTCTGTAAACAGCTTGTGGTAATTCTCCGTAGCCCCCTTATCAATATTCTCCATAGGCTCTTACAGTATTTTCCGTAGAACCGCACAGTATTCTCCGTAGGACCTTACAGTGATCTCCGTAAGACTATACAGTCTTCTAGGTCCTACGGAGAAGACTGTGCGGACTTACAGAGAATACTGTGCGGCCCTACGGAGAATACTGTAAGAGCCTACGGAGAATATTGATAGAGGGCTACGGAGAATCCTGGCAAAAAAATTAACAGAATTTTCCGTACCTTTTTGCCACAGTGTACGACCTTCTGATTCGGACCACGGTGATTATGACCGTAGGTTGTCATTTGTTTTTCCCCCGAGTATTGACCCACACGTAGGACTTGAGGTTCCATGCGCTTTAATATTTGCCTCGCTTTGCTACTAGGTGGCCTCCCTGCACGTGCATGAGCGCGACCGCGGAGCGGCCCGCGACCATGCCTGGAACGTGGCGCTGCTGGTGCTCAAGACCCCCATCAAGAATGGAACCTTGGCCTGCCTCGACCTGGCCGGCCGCGCACCAGCTCAGCCACCTCTTGTCCCAGAAAACGTAGGCGTGGTCAGTATTCCTACATCTGAAGAGCGCAATTTTCAACATACACTCTACCAAAAATGTCCTGTAAATGCCGTTAATTTATTACCAGTTTTCACTGTAGGTCAATTCACAGCGTTTACTGTGAACTGCTCACGGGATTCACTGTGATCTTGTTCGCGGTGTTCACTGTGATCTGGTCCCCAGTAAACACTGTGAGTTTGACGCCGCTGAGCACCGAAGGACTGCAAATCAGGCTCCAATTCACGGCGTTTTCTGTGGCCAGATCACAGTGAACACTGTAACCGAGATCACAGTGAACGCCGTGAACTAGTTCACAGCAAACGCCGTGAATTGCATAACAGCAAACATTGGTAATAAATTAACGGCGTTGACCGGACATTTTTTGTAGAGTGTAGTGTAGGGTAACGGCACCCTGGACATTTTCAAAATAGTTTCTACGTCCTAAACACCGTTAGAAATGAGCTCGGAACTTTTATGGAGAAAAACTCTATAATCACGTTCATGGAGACTCCGTTCCAATTCCATCATTTTTTCGGAGAGATTTTCTTAGGGCTTAAGGGAGGACCCTGGTGAAAAAATGGCCAAAATTGCCAAAAATAGTATTTTTAAAGTTCATAGATAAAAATGTGCATAGACGGTTTCAGATTCAACTGGTTGAACACCTTTAAGCTAAGTGGGTAGTTTTTGGAAAGAAATAACATTAAGATCAGTTGTCGTTGGCTTATACGCTCAACTTCACAGCTTTGCTCAGCCGACAAAAAATTTTGTCGTAGAAAGACTTCCTGCGTTCCTGGTTGACACCTACATGAGTCGTCTTGCATGGACTCTATTCATTGATGAATTGTCGACAAATTTTAAAGACGGAATCTTGATATAAGCCCAACTTTATTTTACAAACCCAGAAAAGTTAAAAGAATAGGAGAAAACCTCACCTTTTTGAAATGTTAAAACTAGAAACTTTGTATCTCAGGACAGAAGTTGAATTAGAAAATTCCGTAACTAAAATCTGTTCTATACATCTTTAGGACAACCCAAGAACAATTTCAAGACTTTCCGCCCCAATAAAAGACACAGGAAGATTTTTAACCAACGCTCTAACAAACATCAAAGTGGCACTTTTTTTAGAGACCGTTGAACATTTTGGATTGAATTTTGTTTTGGGAACTCACCATAATGTACCTAATAATGTAAGCAAAGTTGCAGCTTTCTTATCTAATCCAGGCTACACGTTTTGATCAACAATGTAGATTTTTTTACGGAAATAACTGTGCACTGCAAGAAAAAGTGTGAATAGTACAACAAAAACTGTATAAGAAAAGTACACCATGGATTGTGATTGTTTAAAGTAAAACGAGAATTGTACAAGGTTGAAATTCAAGGGGATTGACACGACCTGAACCTCATGTCGTCAGAACTTGATGAAAGTTGGCTCAAATGTTACCCCCATAGGGGTAAGTAAGCCCACAAAATTTGAACCCTCTAGCTCAACTAACATGGGCGCAGTGAGCAATCTAATTTTCGCCTGAAATTCATTTTCACCTTTTTCAGCAAAATGCACATTTTTGGAAAAGTCGTCGCGCTGGCCGCCTCGACGGCCTTTCTTCCGCCTGATCGACGTTCCTAGACTCAAAGTTGTCTGGGGAATCCGAATCTGGCGTCGGTTTTCCGCTAGCGTTCCGATAAAATTCCGAAAATGGCACTTTTTTACGGAAATTTAGTTATTTCAGGGGTTTACGCGACAGGCCGTATCCACTAGCCCCCAATCCAAACATGCCCGTTTCAACTTTTTTTCAGTTAGGGGACACCATAAGCTTAATTTTAAGTTGGGCCCCGATATTGTGTATGGGTCTCGTTTAGGAGCTAGCCCTATGCCCAACTTTTGACTTTTTCCCTAAAATTTGTTTTTCTGTGAAACCTTTAAAAAGGCATGGCATCCTCAAAAATCGTCCTAGGCGGCCAATAAAGTAGTCTAACGGACGCAGAATTTCCCGAGGATCACGATGCTGCACGTGCATTTGAGTTTTGGGGCCTCAAACACAGTCAAAACTCCAAAAAAAAAAAAACAAATTTATGTCAAATGCCACAAAATGTTAAATGGCAATTTCGACCCTTTTCCCCGTCGCAAGGCCGCTTTGCCGTTGCCTAATCGGACTCCTTGGAGTTTCCACTTTGAGAATAAGCAGGAAAGGGTCAGCAGCCCAGCGGCGGCCAACGTGTGGCCGCCGCTAGAGAGACCAAATGAGCGGACACTGCTGTCGGTGGCTGTTGGGACGTGTTGCGAGCCGAAGCTTTTTTCGGCTTCCGAAGATACCCGAACTCGTTGCCGAACGCTCGTTGAAACCTCTCTTTCCGAGTCGACGCCCGCCTGTTTCGGAAGCAGACCAACAGAAACCACCGCCTCACCCCTCGCCCGCTATCTGTCACAAACCGTCCCGACAGGTGCTGCCCTCTGGTAGGCAAGGGTTCAATCAAGCGGCTGTCGTTCAGCTCCGAGCGACCCGTCGGCTGCTCTTCGGGTCGCTTCGGCATCCGAGCCTGGCGAGCTTTGCCGGATCCGCCCGCCCGGCTCGGCGCTGAACGGAGCCGAAGCTCGCACCTTCGTTTGTTTCCGGACAAACGGACAGCCAAGTCCACTCGTTTGGTCTCTCTAGCCACCGCCACACTGGAAACTGCGGACTTCCCCGTAAGGACGAGGCACCGCGCCGCCCAGGTAGGCAACCAGTTTGACGCACCCCTCGGCCACGGGCGGTGGAGGTCGCACGCGCCGCCCGGGTAGGCAACCAGTCTGACGCGCTAGGCCCGAGATTAAGTGGGGGTGGGGAGGGGGAGGGGAAGGGACGGTAGCGGGGGGGTGGAGGGTGAGACAACCGTCGACTGCACTGTTAAAAAAAGTGCTGTAAATTAACAGCACTTATGCTGTTAAGTTTGATAGCAGCACAACTTGTTTTATTACAAGCATGTTGTAGCCCTCGGTGCTGTTTTCTGACAGTCCGATTGTAATAAAACAATACTTCTTAGGAGTCTTCGACGATGTCTTCCCAACATTTGTAGTGATTTCATCGTGCTGTTATTAAACAAGACACTTGTAACCTGACAACAAAATATGTTTTAAGATTGCAAAAGGCTGTTTCTAAACATGAAACCTGTTCAACGACAACACAACTATTTTGAATGACGATTACATTCTTGTTACTTGACAAGGAAATTGTTATGAAACGAAAGTGCTGTTTCTGGATGGGTTTCCCGTTCAGACACAAAACAATACTGTTGTTTTATAACAGCATTACTGTAGGTGATTGTGTTGTAATATTACAGTGGATTTTTGACGGTGTGTTAGTGTTGTTAGTGTGTTGTTGTTGTTGGTGGTGGTGTATTGTGTTTTTGTGGCTGCTGCTATGTAGGTTATCACTTTTCGGCTTGAGGCCATAAGAAAGGAGCTCTCTCTGTGTGCGTTCGGGCTCGCCTGAAAAGAAACATGAGGATTTAACTTCAGTTGAGGTTAAAAGAACTAGTACATTTATCAAGGTGGAACAACATACCCCCTACCGGCTTCCGCATCCTGAACCGATATGTAGATAAAACCTTCAACGGGATTAACAGGCGAGCCCGAACGCACACAGAGAGAGTTCCTTTCTTATGGCCTCAAGCCGAAAAGCGATCAACTACAAAGCAGCAGCCACAAAAACACAATACACCACCACCAACAACAACACACTAACAACACTAACAGTCCACGGTTGTCTCACCCTCCACCCCCACCCCCCGCTACCGTCCCTTCCCCTCCCCCACCCTACCCCCACTTAATCTCGGGCCTAGCGCGTCAGACTGGTTGCCTACCCGTGCGGCGCGTACGACCTCCACCGCCCGTGGCCGAGGGGTGCGTCAAACTGGTTGCCTACCTGGGCGGCGCGGTGCCTCGTCCTTACGGGGAAGTCCGCAGTTTCCAGTGTGGCGGCGGCCACACGTTGGCCGCCGCTGGGCTGCTGACCCTTTCCTGCTTATTCTCAAAGTGGAAACTCCAAGGAGTCCGATTAGGCAACGGCAAAGCGGCCTTGCGAGGGGGAAAAAGGGTCGAAATTGCCGTTCAACATTTTGTGGCATTTGACATAAATTTTGTTGTTTTTTGGAGTTTTGACTGTGTTTGAGGCCCCAAAACTCAAATGCACGTGCAGCATCGTGATCCTCGGGAAATTCTGCGTCCGTTAGACTACTTTATTGGCCGCCTAGGACGATTTTTGAGGATGCCATGCCTTTTTAAAGGTTTCACAGAAAAACAAATTTTAGGGAAAAAGTCAAAAGTTGGGCATAGGGCTAGCTCCTAAACGAGACCCATACACAATATCGGGGCCCAACTTAAAATTAAGCTTATGGTGTCCCCTAACTGAAAAAAAGTTGAAACGGGCATGTTTGGATTGGGGGCTAGTGGATACGGCCTGTCGCGTAAACCCCTAAAATAACTAAATTTCCGTAAAAAAGTGCCATTTTCGGAATTTTATCGGAACGCTAGCGGAAAACCGACGCCAGATTCGGATTCCCCAGACAATTTTGAGTCTAGGAACGTCGATCAGGCGGAAGAAAGGCCGTCGGGGCGGCCAGCGCGACGACTTTTCCAAAAATGTGCATTTTGCTGAAAAAGGTGAAAATGAATTTCAGGCGAAAATTAGATTGCTCACTGCGCCCATGTTAGTTGAGCTAGAGGGTTCAAATTTTGTGGGCTTACTTACCCCTATGGGGGTAACATTTGAGCCAACTTTCATCAAGTTCTGACGACATGAGGTTCAGGTCGTGTCAATCCCCTTGAATTTTACCCACAAACCACAACGAGGCCTGGACTGCCCAGCACTCGTCATGCCGGTTCCATTGTACAATAATTGTTGTACTTTGGAAGTACAGTAAATTCCTGATAAAAAATTGTCAATAATTTGCGTACTTTTGTTGTGGTTTTTTCATGCAGTGTACCGCCCCAAATAGCAGGGTTACTGCAAACTGTTCCTTGTTTGGAGGGGTAAGGTTGGCCTGGCCGTTTGCAGACGGAGACATGGCGCGGAAACTTCGTCTCAGACCGCCGCGTCCTGGTCGCGCTGTCCACCCTCGGCTTGGAGGACTGTCATGCCAGACTGCTTGGTCGGTGGGAGTCAGAAGGGCGCTCCCTCACGGACGACAGAATCTGCACGGCGAAGGCCAGCGGTACGCCTGGTTTCACTACAAACTGAAGTGTGTACTGTACTCAGTATCAGTATGAGCAGGGGGTGGCAACGCTGTACACGCATTCTGAGGCCATGTTTGACCCCCCCCCCCCCAAAAATCGTGCATTGCAAGAAAAAGTGTGCATAGTACAACAAAAGTGCAACAAAAACTGTACAATTCAAGTACAACAAGGATTGTACAAAGTACAACTAGAATTGTACAAACCACAACCAGCCCTGCACTGCCTAGCACTCGTCATGCCGGTTCCGTTGTACTTTGTACAACAATTGTTGTACTTGAAAAGTACACTAAATTCCTGATAAAAAATTTGCCAGAAATTTGTGTACTTTTGTTATGGTTATTTTCTGCAGTGTGGCACTTTTCAAGGAGATTCTCTCTGAGCCCCGCAAAGGAATCGGATGAAACTTGAGTGCAGCATCTAGTTAAAAGGTCATTTTAAAGTAATAATTAAACATAAGCGCACATACAATCAATTCACCCCTCAAAACCGCATCACAAAAACAAGAGAAAAGTGGGGTTTCACTAAAAACGCTGCAAGAAAACTGTCTACTTATATTTTCAAAACGTTAATCTTGGAAAGTTTTGGAGTCTTTGAGTTGAAACCGGGCCTAAACACTTTATCAATTCACATGTTATCGTAATAACAAAATAGCTCAGCTTTACTGGACTTGGTACTTTAGACTCGTCGAAGTAGACTTATGTTCCGGCGGGAGGGGAAGGGGGGGGGGGTCCGACATGGCGTCAAGAAAGATGGAGGGCGTTGCCACCCCCTACAGATGTATACTCAGCTAAGTACGCAGATGCATACTTGGAAGAGTTAGGTATTCGTTTGTAGATGTGTAAGCTGAGAATGCACTGCACTTGTACAAGTTTAACTTGGTACCCACTTTAGTTTGTAGAGTTCCTGACCGTATTCCGGCCGAGTCGCATAGCTTGTGACTCCTGTTGCTTGCAGAGGAGGTGTGGAAAGGTGCGGCCTTGCTGGCGCGTCGGGGCGACTCTTGGTTCCTGCGCGGCATCCTTTGCTTCAGTTTCGCGGACGGACACGTCTTCACGGACTTGAATGGAGACAGCGTCAGGAACTGGCTGCGCGAGAAGCTACACTCCTCGTGGAACAATGACCTACCGGAAGTCAAAACAATCTCGCCACTGCCCGGCGCAAGGCACTTCTTCTTCGATGGCCTCGCGCTGGACCTGGGGCTCATCTCGCTCTTCGTGGTCATTGCTGCAGCGGGGGCTTACTTCTTGCTGATCACGTTCTGGCCGAACAGAAGCCATCATGTCATGGCTTCACGCTGCCAATGCTTCGCAGCCTGCAAGCGCCTGGTGCCAACGCCTGCTGCGAGGCACGCGAACACGGTCGCCACGGACCAGGACAGTTACGTCGACCAGCATGGCAACAGCGACGACGAAGAGACCAGACCAGCTCTCGCCGTAATCTTCAACAACGAGGCGGGTGCGCAAATCCAAGCACGCGAGTGATGTTAGACCGGCGACGCGGTTGGGATACTGCCACGGCTACCTACACTTAGAATCTAAACGTTATGAATATAGCGTCAATGAAAAAGCATTGCACATAAAGTGCATAATGCATTCCCATCCCCATGCATTAGCATAGGGCATTTTCGGGACGCATTGCACGAAAGGTGCAGTATGGTTGAGGCATCGCACGCATAGGGGTCATTCTACAGAAATGTTACAATTTGATGTCCCTGCCCCTTTGTGACGAAACGGTTCGTCCTAGAAAGACGCGGTTTGCGCGGTGAGATGGTGCTTTTTCTGCTTCAAAATGATCCACTATTGGGTTTGAAAGTTTCTGAGGTTTTCAGATGGCTGTGGCCTCCGGAAGGTGCAAAATGTAAACACTGAAAAAAGTTGTCGTAATTTTATGACATATTGGCGATGAATGCTTCATAATTTTAAGAATGGCTCGTTTTATGCTCACTATGAAAAAATCATAAATGAACAATTATGAACCTTTCATATTTTGGTTGAAAAAAGTGCCTGAAAATGCCCGAAAGGTATTCAGATTTTACGAACCATTCATAAAATAATGAACCATTCATCGTTCAATTGTTCCTAAATTTACGATTTTTTAATGGGAAAATAGTGTACAAGAATGGCTCATATAAAACTTTACGAAACATTCATAATTTTATGAACGATTCGTAAAATTATGAATTATTCATACAACATTATGAAGCATTCGTACAATTACGAATGGCTGGTGATGCTGTTACGTTAAAATTGGGGAATGAAACATTCATTTTGGGGTGTTTATGAATTATTCATTTTTTGAATGAAGCATTCATAAAATAATGAGTGTTTCATAAAAATAATGAATCATTCGTCGTGAAATTATTCGTAAAATTATGAATTTTATGTGGGAAAATACTATACAAGAATGGTTCGTAATATTACGACTTTTTTTCTCTCAGTGAACTCCGTGGCTGTCCCGATGCGTAGTTAACTAAGTTTGCGCCTCTCGTACGTCTAAACGAGACGCAGGACAATCATTCCCGACGGCTCTATTTGCTAAGGCACTTTCATACTTTAACTTAATCCCACTGACTTTAGTAAAAAGTTTGAAGCTTTGTGCCTGCACAGAATTAACTTTCGTCCCGAAGTTTTTACTTCCCTAAAATCCACATGTGCACTGTAACGAGTATGGCACTACAGGAGACAAACGGGAAGTCGCAGCTTCAATCTGAAGACTGCAATGGATTCCGGATGAAAAAACACATCTAGCCACCAAGTTTGAAGGATGTGAGTCCAATGGCTAGCATCTGATTGGTACCCAAATTTCAAAAAGGGGGTCGCGTATTTTTTTTTTTTGTATGTAAACTCCGTACCCGATTTGCCACGGATCCCCTGTGCGTCAAACTTTCGAAATGTGGATAAAAACAATGCTTTGGTGGTCCTTTAGTCAGCTGTGTATGCGCGTTCTACTGTTCCAACTCATACGGCTGCAATCGAGGGGTTACCCACTCGGTACTTGGGCGTACACACGATTCCGGATTCCCGCGATTCCTGAACAAATCTTGCATAAAAGCAGAGGTTTTTGAAGTTTTTTCTTAGCTTTTGAGTGTTTTGTGTAGGTTTTGAGTGTTTTGTGTCTATTACATATCCCTCTCCATTGAAAGTTTTAAGATTTTCGATAAAATTTTGAGCAAATAACGAACGATTCCCGGACTGAGTGTACACACGATTCCCGGAGTGGGTAACCCCTCGGCTGCAATCCAGGTACTTGCTTCAAATTGTAAACTCCGTAGGCGTCAATTTATGTAAACTCCGTAGACAGTTCCTCTATGATTTCTGGGGGGAAAATTTTTTTTCTCGAAAAGTGTGACGCTTGAAATCGTTTCGCATTCTGCATGCCGAAACAAGAAAAACAAGCCCAATATGAATGAAATCGGACAACTTTTATTTTTTTTCGCGGTTCTAACTGCGAAATTGTAACATTTCTGTAGAATGACCCATAGTGCATTATCTCAATGCATTGCACCATACGTGCTACTCATAGCGTTTGGAATCTCAGTGTAATCTACTAAAAAAAAAAGAAGAACGCCCTGTTTCCAGAGATGGCAACCCAAAAACGAAGTTCATTCCCATATTTTCTGAAATATCTCCGGAATGCGCTGTCCAATCTAAATATTTAATGCCTTGAGGTTGATGATCAGTAATGCTTGTCCGACAATCGCATCGGTCAGGCTCTTCGTCAAATTTTAACTCTTTGCCATTTTTATCAAAGTTTTCCGTTTAGTTGTCAAAATTTCAATTCCGTTATTGCTATTGTGACCAAACTGAAAAAACGTGGTGAGGAGTCCGCATACGCTAAGCAGTCACTTAACAACCCATTTTGGGAAAGGACTGTTCCACCTTGTGCTTTAAACAGGACCTGATCCGACACGCGTTCTGGAGATGAAGACAAAATTTCGAAAGCACTTTCGTTAGTTCCAAATATTTTTTGCCAAGGGAAGTAAAATTATTTGTTAACATATCTCCCAGAAACCGCTCACTTAACTTCTTACGGATACATCTATATGCATTCCGGACATTTTTGTGCAATCGTAATGATGGACGGATTTTGCTTGTAATACGGATGATTTCATCCCTGCATGGTGTCCGTTAGGAGTTTTGAGTGGCGGGCTCGCTTGCTACTGCCTTTCTTCCCGGCGTCCGGTTTTGTTCTTTCCTCTTGTTCTTCGATCGCCAGAATGCTCTATTAACGACAGCCTGTTTGTTAATTTGGTTGGTGACATAATCGGTCTGATACGATTTTTTCGCAATTAAATGAACGGCTTAGTATGAGAATATCGTAAAAATATAATATTTACTTCTATCAGAATTTTTTTAACTCAATCAATGGACACGTTTTCTCACGCACAATACAACAGTTTTTAAACCCATTTTTTATGTTTTAAAACGCAGTTTCTATCGCAGCAACCAAAAGGACATGACGTACTTTACTCATAGGAAAAGGAGAATTATCACTCCTAAAAGTATCATACACGAGAAATAAATAGTTAGAGAGAAAAATAATGGTTTTGCAGCACTCCAGGGTTTGTACTCTCCTGAACACTCTTTGAGTGAGGTAAATATACAGTGTTGTAGAAATTTATCGATTTTTACTAAGTTTTAACTTTTGGGAATCTTAACAGATCAGCTTTGTTTTTATATCCAAAACGTTCCTTCTCTGTAGAAGGAGCGCCCCTTGGGAAAGGACGGGTGTGCTTTGTTGCAATAAAGTCCTGTTCCACTGCAACAGTTCCCTCGCGTGCCGTCAACTCCAGTACACTCGCCGTCGAAAGGTCTGCCGCACTGCTAGTTGGCGAGCGATAGCGAGCCCTTGCCGTGTTTGGGCGCTCCAAAAAGTGACTGGTCGTGCGTCTGTCTGTCTGTCTGTAGCGTACACGCTCACGTTTCTCAGCAACAACAACACTATTAGTTCCCAAATTTTGCACCGAACATCTCCTAAAGCTCCCACAGGGGGAGTTTATCTTCTATTTACGATTACTACCGTTTGAAATATTCAAAACATCTTTTTGAATTAGGTTCTTAGCGTGGTCAGGTTGGCAGCATTTATGAATTTTTCATACTTGCGGCCGCGGCTCTCAAATACGGGACTGGCAGAACATTGGCAAATAAAACAAAATAGAGAGCAGAAGGGCTTAGAAGTGAGTTCGGTCATAGTTTTTCGATATTCTAGAATGATTGAAACCCCTCCGGAGTGTCAACACAGTGAAATACGGAAAATGAAAGTGTCAATTATTACGCGTTTCGTCGGTCTGTCCGCCCCTTCCCCTCCCCCGCTACAGGGGAAATGTTTTGTATACTATATGGGGAGTGAGTGTAGCGCATACAAGGTTTGACATTGACATCTGATTCAATGAGACGATTCAGTGTCTTGGTCATATGATTTCATGAGACGATTCTTCTAACTTCATCATATATTGTCTGCGACAACTGGTAATTTGTGTCGGTCATGGTTTTAGTTTTTAATTTACTCAGAATGTTAAGTAAATACTTATGCTATACTGTTTCAGAAATTAAATATCACATCATGACTATCATTATGAATAAGATTAACTTGCGTTTAGCAATAAGTGGGCTCGACATTGGATTCTATGAAACGATCCATTGGATCTGACAGAAGGTCTTCTCCGCAAAGTAGTTGCAATCAGCCTGCCTGTAAATGTGTCTCTTTTTAATTAATTGAGATAAATCAATATATTTTCATCCACTAGTTTAACATAAAAGGGAGATAAAAGGCTTTTTTGGTATTACAAATAACATTGCGTATTCATAAGTTCAATAACAAGGAGATATCGAAGGTAATTGAAGCATTTGTGAATCGTACTAAGTAATTCAATGCTGGCTGTTTAATGTTACTCGACTGCGTAACAGTGTCAGGGTTCATGTTACAACACCATGAACCGGAAACACAATTAGAAATTGCGTTCATGTTAACAGCTGCAGACCCATACTTTCAACTAGAATTACATGATTTCCTTAGTACCAAAATTTCCTCAGTGAGTCATTGTTTCCTGCAGTATTTGGTGTGCTGATCACAAAAATGACTTTTATTTTCACCCCAGGCCTTTACTTTTCCAAATATTTACCAATTTTGGACCAAAATTTTTAAGTCGAGTTTTACATAGTTCCCTGCAGTTTTTGGTGTGCTGATCACGAAAATGACTTCCAATTTCATCCCAGACCTTTACTTCTCCCAAAATTTACCAATTTCAGACCAAAATTTTCAAGTCGAGTTTTACATAGTTTCCTGCAGTTTTTGGTGTGCTGATCACGAAAATGACTTCGAATTTCACCCCAGACCTTTACTTTTCCAAATATTTAGCAATTTTGGACCAAAATTTTTAAGTCGAGATTTACATAGTTTCCTGCAGTTTTTGGTGTGCTGACCACGAAAATGACTTCCAATTTCATCCCAGACCTTTACTTTTCCCGGAATTTACCAATTTGTGACCAAAATTACAAAGTTGAGTTCCTCATTGTTTCCCGCAGTTTTCAGTAAGATAATCACGAACACTTTTATCCAAGTTGCAATACTTTCAACACAAAAACGTGCGATAATATCCAAAATGTGATTCCCTCGATTCATTGCTCCCCAGATGCAATGACTTTTGTACAACGAAATTTTTGCAATGATCATCGCACATTTCTGCAATGAAATTAGGAATTATTGCATAAAAATGCGATGATGGCAACACAAAATCTGCATTCAATACAGTTTTTTGCAATGATCATTGCAAAATTCTGCGATGCAGCAGCTCATCTCTCCTTTTTGCAATGACCATCACAGAAAAGAGCGATGAAATTTGTATCGCGCTAAAAGTGCGGTCTGCATCGCAAGTGAAATAACCGTGAAAATGACATGAATTCCGGCCCTTTCGTTACGTAAGACACTGCATTGGCCTTATTCTGCACATATTCTTCGCCATCTCCTATAAGAATGTGTTCAGACGCATCGCTCGCCTACTACGCGCCCAAACTAAACGGCGCGTACCCCTAGTTACTTGCCCGCATTAAAAAGAAGCGCCTCAACGTTAGTACTTCGTTAGTAGATGTTAGTACTGCAGCAAACGT